GACATTGCCTACTTGTTGTTTTAAGTTGATGACATTGTATTGACCACCTCTTCTCCTGCTCTACTTCAGTCCATTATTGCTCAACTTAATCGCGAGTTCACCATGTCTGATCTGGGGGCCCTTACCTATTTTCTTGGGATCTCTGCCACCCGCTCATCTCACGGTATTTTTCTTTCTCATCGAAAGTATGACTCTTAGATTCTTGAGCGTGTCCATATGCTTCAGTGTAATCCAACTCGTACACCTACCGAGACTACTCATAAGGTGGATGTCACTGGTCCTCCTGTTGTTGATCTGTCTCTCTACCACAATCTTGTCGGGGGTCTTCAGTACCTCACTTTTACTCGATCAGACATTGTCTTTGGAGTTCAGTATATATGTTTATTCATGCATGAACCATGGGAGCCTCATCTACACATTAGCAAGCGCAATTTATGCTACATCATAGGAACCATGAATCACGATCTGCAACTTCATGTTTCCCCCCTCATATGATCTTCATGCATACTCAGATGTTGACTGAGGCAGATGTCTGGTATCTCGTCGTTCGACCTCATGATATTGTATTTTTATTGGCAATAATCTCATCTCATGGTCTTCTAAACGGCAAGGAGCTATCTCACGGTCTAGTGCAGAGGCGGAATATTGTGGCGTTGCCAACACCATTGTAGAGACATGTTGGGTTCAAATTTTGCTTTGTGAGCTTCAGTGTCCGCCCACCAAAGCCACCATTTTCTATTGTGACAATATCAATTATGTTTACATGACATCAAACCCAGTTCAACACTAGTGCACGAAACACATAAAGATTGATATTCATTTTGTATGTGATCTGGTTGCTAGGGTCGCAGTTTGTGTTTTTCGCGTGCCCTCTTTCGCTCGGTACATTGATATTTATATATATGTTTAACGAGTTCAAGTCCAGTTTAAACGTTCAAAATTTCCCTACCGATAAAACAATAATGGAATGTTAGTGGGTACATTTATGTATATGTTTGTATTGTATTATTCTATCCTATTGTAGTTAGGCTCCATTGTTTTGGTCCATGTGCCTTGTATGTATTGTGTATTATTTATACGTATCATGTAATGAGAATGGATTTCATAGGAAAATATAGATTATCAATAAAAACATGGAATTCTTAACGAAACTTCGATTTAAACCACAAGTTTCCATGAAATATATATTTAGGAATTATATTACTACCTTATAATTACCGGTTGCATTTCAATTTTGCTCGGATCTACCAACTTGGTACCGCGTTATTATAAATGGATAATGTCACAAAATTACAACAAACATTTCTCAATTTTTCTTTAAGTCACTTATATTTTAGTTGCATTCAATAGACCAATAAACTTTTTTCTATGTGTCATTTTACCATTAGAACATATTTTAACCGATGAAGTGGTATTTAACAACTTATGTGATGTCCAATGTGTCATACAATATGATAGAATTTGTTCATATATGTTCATGTAACCGTTTTATCCTAATTACTCCTAATTACTCCTTATCATGACTCGATAATAGCAACCCACGGTGAATGACACACAAGGGTGAAATCCACTCTAATGGTGTAAGTATACTTGATAATGTTCAAATTTTATACACAAATTTAGTCTAGCATATAGTTAATCTAATAAACTTTGATGTATATATTGAGGTTGTTCTTAACCTCATAAACTTTAAATATGAGATAACGTTGTTTAAATTTTACTAGTAAACTAGTGTGTTGTACATTATGTATACTAGTTTTAGATTTTTTTATAGATTTAAGAATTCCAATTTAGAAAAATTGTCAACTATAACTAACTAATTTGTAGGCAATATTATATAGCACGTGGTCAATGTATGGCTCAGCGAGGTAATAGGACAACGAGAATAACGTGCAAAAACCCATCATCGTAACCTATATAAACCATACTTTAAAAACTATTTTCCTAATGTCTCTATTTTCTCATTTTAAAAACACAAAATTTTCTTTAATTTTTCCTTTTTTTTTTAATCTCAGAAACATTTCTCATGGAGGTTCATCTTCCTTCAACGTTTTCACATGTCTACTTGGAGCCTAGAAGACAAGTTTCCGACAAGCTACATGTATCTATTGATTCTCTTCATTACACATAGGGTTTTTGATTTGATTGATTCTTGTTTTTTCAAAAACTCAAAACTTGCTCGTCGATCCAAGAACAAAATAATGTTGCCTGATGTGATTCTGCCACCAGAACAATGTTCGATGGTAAATACTGCATTATTCACTCATTTATTTAAATGAATGTTCATGTCATTTAGGTGTAAAATTTTACAGAAAAACTACAAGAAAAGGTTCATTTAATATATATATATATATATATATATATATATATATATATATATATATATATATATATATATATATATATATATATATATATATATATATAGTCATATATATATATATATATATATATATATATATATATATATATATATATATATATATATATATATATATATATATATATATATATATATATATATATATAGTCAATGATCTATACCCAAAATGAGTAAATGGAGCTTGAATTCAAGATTTTTGAAATTTGATAAACTGATCTAAATTCATTACGTGAAAAGTAGATCATGAAACACCAACAATCAATAAAGCATCCACGGTGAATTGTGATTATACACAATCATAATTATATTGTGTTTTTATGTTTTTTAGAAAGAAAAAAAATTATAAAATGAGCATATAGATTTAGGGTAAAAATCTAAGGATATTTTTATTATTTTAATATTTTTAAAAACTTTTTTTTATCAATTTATTTCCAAGATTATGAGAAGTAGTTGGAATATAAAGGAGTTTTTAATCGCTTTTTGTTATGGGAAAAAAAAGCTCACAGAACAATCTATGTTCTTTTTTTTAATAATTATTTGATGCCCCAAAGAAACTCAAAAATATCTAGAATATTTAAGATTGATGCATATCTTTTTTTTTTTTCAAGTATGTATTTATTTCCATCTCAGTTTTGTCAAATGTGCATGCACAATGTATATAAAATTTTCAAGCCAAAAATTAGGGATGAGCGTGGGTCGGTTTGGGTCGGTTTATGACTAAAACCAAACCAAACCATAGAAAGTCGGTTTTCCGGTTTTTAAACTCATATAGGTTCGGTTTTTGGATTGGTCGGTTTTTCGGTTTTCCGGGTTGGGTTTATGGGTTTTCGGTTTTAAACCGTGTGTTTATGAGCTCCTATTTTTTTCTCTAGTTTTTGGGTTCAAACCTAGTGAAAATACGTTGCGATAAATAATATTATATTTACTTTAAATATACTAAGATTAAGAGTACGAATTCTAGTATTAAAAAAGCATAAAAGTGTTCAAAAGATCAAAGATTAACACCATCAAAAATTTGTTGAAAATAAACATAAAGTATTAAAGAGATAAAGTTTAAAGTCTAAAACTAAAAGTTTAAATCATAATATAAATAATATATATGTGGGTTGGTTCGGTTTTTATGGGCGGTTTTATACGTCAAAACCGAACCAAACCGTTATTTTTTGGTTTTTGTAAAATTGAAATCCAAAGCGTCGGTTATTGCTTTAGTTTCGGTTTTTCGGTTTCGGTTATGTCGGTTTTTTTCGGTTTTTCGATTTTCGGTTCGGTTTTTGCTCATCCCTACCAAAAATATAACATATACGTTATCCATTTCATTTTCAATTAGAAAAGTTTTACACCTTTTATTTTTGACAAAACGTAAACAACAACAATATGCATCAAGTTGTAAAGATGGAAAAAGATAAAAGGAACTTGGTCACATTCCATTCCAATTTCTTTTTCATTCTTATCTTTGATTTGATTCTTGACGTCTAAAAGAAAAAAAAGATGAAGAAAGAAACCCATGCATGCTTTTGCTTATCTAACTTCACTACCTAATACGTCATTTTCTATGTGCCAAAATCACAATTTGGACTGCTATTTCAATAATTTCAAGAATATAAACATAGCCGCGTAATGTTTAAGTAGTCTTGTAGTTCTTCGATTCTTTGAGATTGAGACTTGGAGCATTTCTTTTGAACGGCAATTAGTTTTATGCACGTCCTTTTAATGCAAAATTATGGTTCCAACTTCTCTTTCCAAATATGGGTATTTTCGTATTTTCGTACATATTCGAATGTTGTTGTACAGTTTCACATTGACTATAGCTAAATTTCATGTTTATTCACCGTTTTATTGATATTCCAGTGTTGTACAGTTTCATATTGACTATAGCTATATTTCATGTTTATTCAACAACTACTTAATTCCAATATAAAAATACTGGAAATTTTCCAATCCATCCAACATAAGTAAATGGTTTGAGATTTTAACCTTCTCATTCACTTTTCTCCAACATGATCAAAGTTAACCTAGGTTAATCCATTTAAACTTTTTAGATTTTACACAAAATGACAAAACAAAAAAAAAGTTTCAAGTTAAAAAAACATAACTAGTCATTAATTGTCCAAATTGAAATATTAAATAAATCCAACTTATTTAATTAAATTTGTTGAAAATTCCAACTTATCTTACTAATTTTAGGTTGGATTGTAGTTGGGTTGAACCGATTGTTGTATATTTGATTTACTTCTCATAATATTCCTTCCACGGTGTTAATAGTGCCTAAAAGGGTTGCAATAAAAACAACTTTTTTTATATAGAAAGTAAGCATTAGTTATAATAAACATTAATCTCGTTTAGATATTGTTGACCTTATTAAACATGAGAAACTTTGGATGCATATCATAAATTCTTGTTCTTCTTCATGTCAAACAAAAAAACACAGAATCTGAACCTGATAAGTACATATTACTGTTGAATAGGTTCATATCACTTAGAAAAGGGGCCAAATTTATATTCTTTTTTTATCCCATCGAATTTGGTTTTAAGTTGGTCGACTTAGCTTTCATAAGGGGCACATGGTGCACATTTGACTAGAACATTTTTTCCACTTTTTTATAGCATAGTACAAAAGGACGAAAGTTTGGTACAAAACGTGAATCGATCACGAATGAAAAACCATTGTACAAGATTTGAGAAAACATTTCATTTTGTTGAGGTTTCTATTGTTTGCATACTTTTTACAATTATATATCTTTTCCTTTTTTCATGATCTAAATGTCATTCTTTTGGTTCTTTTGTTTTCACAGGAACAATTATCGAGCCCATTTAATGCTCAAATGTTAGAGTTTTGTGAATCAGATTTGTTTCAAGAAACCATGCAAAACTCTGAAGTTGCTTCGAGTTCAAATTGTTGTTATGAAGAACAATCCTCCAATCCACCGGATGTTATCAATGCCGCCACCACCGCTGCCACCACCACCACCACCGCCAACGTCCCTTTGATGTTTGAAGAAGAGATAATGGAAAATGACATTTCTACCCCTATTGATCTCGCAAACGCTTCCCATTTCACCAACCATCGGTACCCCTTTAGCAATCAAGACCAATTTGATCTAGATTTACTCCAAAACCAAATTCCTACAATAATAGACGAAAACAATGAAGCAAATGCCCGAATTTTTTCATATACTAATACGGTTTTGAATGATCAAGTGGGGCCCACGATTGGACAAACACAACCATTGCCGACTGTTTGTGAAGAAAGCAGTCTAAACTCCGTGTCACCTTTGAAGTTCATGCGGTTGAATGATTGTTTGTCTCGTAATTATTCCTTCATTGATCCATCTATAAAATCGTACGAAGGTTCCGGGATTTTCAAAGGGAATTTGTTTTTAGGAAATGACATGTCACGTCATGAACTTGAATTCCATGGAGATAACGGTGGAATCTTTGGTTGTGATCCTCCGCTACACGCTTACAACTCTAATGAACTTCAGGTATTTCTTGAAATGATATTTAGATACAATTGGTTCTTAGGGGGTATATAGTTCAAACACTATATAATAGTTTCAATTCCAATATGGATTACTGTATTCTATGTCAGCCATGATTTTCTGACATAATTTCAATATATGGATTAGTGTATTCTACATCGATCCTGGTTTTCTGACATAATTCTTTTGGACAGGATAGTGTGGCCCAACTTAGAGTCATTAGAAAAATAATTGTTTATTTATTTATTTATTTATTTATAAATGTTATGTGGTAGTAAAATGGTTATATTGTTTCTAACAATAGGTTTATGTTTGTTTTCATTTGTTGAAACTTAAAGGCACTTAGCAATGAAAGCCAGCATCTTGTAAAGGGAAGTGTGAGTTCTACAACGCCATTGGTGTCCGATATCACAAGCTTGGAGTCAGAAACCTTCAGAGTTGCCACCAAACTCACAACTGAAGAAAGGAAAGAGAAGATCCATAGATACTTGAAGAAAAGAAAAGAAAGAAATTTCAAGAAGAAAATCAAGGTAAAAAAACCCAAGAATCATATGCTAATTCTAATTTCTATCACTCGGTATCTGATTCAGAAGAAGTATCCTTTTCAACATTCGCAAACCGCAATCATCTCCTCTTATTTGTTGCAACAAAAATGACATTGCAAAGAAAATTTATATTCTTAAGATGAAAATTGTAAAAAATATAAACAATTAGATTCGTGAATTACTGTCTGATACACTAATTACCTTGTTCGAAGAGATTATCAGACTAAATTTGGAGCTCTTTCTGCAGTACGCATGCCGGAAAACTCTGGCAGATAGCCGGCCACGAGTAAGGGGAAGATTTGCAAAGAACGATGAATTCGGGGAGAACAATAGAAGCAACAGCAACGATACTGATGAAAATGGAAGATCTTTCGATGTAATGTCAATTTGATTGATGATTGATCAGAATTATTCACTTTACCTGTTTACAAACCCCAAAATTTATTGAAATTAAATTCGTTCTTGTGAATCAGCAGCTTGTAGTGAAGGATGAAGAACAGAGTTTGGAATCATCGGATATCTTCCCGCATTTAAGTGGATTGAATTCATTCAAATGCAATTATCCTATCCAATCATGGATTTGAATCCATGGAGATATGGTGATGTTGTTTCAGCTCTCTGCACGAATCGCGTGTGAAACTCATATCAAGGTTGATTTAAAAAAAAAAAAGTAATTTATAAGTTATCATTTAAAATCAATATTAAGATCATTTTATTTAAGATATAGTTTATTTGTTATTCGTCTAATTTACTATATACATAAATAAAGGGTGCCAAAATTACGAAAAAAAATAACATTATCTAATTTCTTTTCGTTGCTCGTGTAACTTTTAGTTAAACATGTAATATGTAAGGAATTTTTTTGTAAATGCAACATACATAATTATATATACGTAACTCTCAATGTCAATAAGATTAATTATATTTTTTGTTTTCCAAGTATGTAGATTTTTTGAAATTTAAACAAAGGTGAACACAATGCATTTTTAAAATGAGGTTTCCTATTTTTATTTTTCTTATTATAAGAAAATCAACTATATAGTGCCCTATTAGAATTAGGCACTCATATAAAATATCTAATGTTCATTTGATAAATGTTATGAATGACAAATTTATCAAGTTTATTTTCCTATCATGTGTTGATATCATTTTCTTATTATTATATATAGACAATACGCACAATAAACTCTCAAAACTTTGATATTGTGTCATGTTATGTTTTGTTGTCGACTTTACCTCTTTCTTCGAATTTAATTATTGAATATTTTGTCTTTGTTTCTTATTCTTTATTTTCATATTTAACGAAAGATCTTTATATTGTGCTTTGTGTAACCATGTTGTTGCATTGTTGCAGATGACAAAAGAATATCAAGAGAAAATCAGATAAATCAAGACAGTTAAAAAAAAAAGGGGGGGGGGGGGGGGGGGGGGGGGCATTGTCAACACTGACACATGGTTGCTACATCATCGAATTTGTTGGTGTGCATTTGAATACGATGGAATAATTGTTAATGGATGTTGGGTTTAATGATTGAAGAAACAACATTGGCAATTATTAGAAGTGGCAGTTGCATAGAAAAAATATATAAATAATCGAGTTATAAATAATATAGACATTAAAAATGAAGATGGATCTGTAATGGGAAAAACAAAAAGGAAGGGGTTGTTTATGTACAAAAAGAGTAAAATGAATTTGATGATAGTTTTTTTTAAATATATATATATATATATATATATATATATATATATATATATATATATATACACACACCAGCAATTGGCTCGCGCAAAGCGGCGGCAAAAGATTAATTTGTTATTAGAGAACATATTCCAAAAAAAAATTACCACATTAGTCAATCGAATATGGAAAATTTTGAACTTTCGCGTTTTATTGGACATGTGTTCTAAGTCTATTGATTGTCTTTGTGTTTGTTCGGTATGTATTTTCTTATATTGGATTCGTTATACCAAAAACAGATAATATACAACTACATTTTCATCTTGTATGATACCAGGAAAAGTGTCATCGGTGAATAGTTTTTTTTTCGGAGACATTTCACATTCCAAATAATAAAAATAATTGTTATTATCACTTATATTATTTTTTGGTTAATATAATTTTTATACAATACGCTTTTAAATAAGAAATTAAATAAAAATAAAGTATAAAACAACCAATATATTCTTGCTTTTAATCTTAAACAACAACAACAACAACAACAACAACAATAATAATAATAATAATAATAATAATAATAATAATAATAATAATAAATTGTAAAAAGAAAATGAAAAAAAAAAAGATTAAGTTAGTCTTTTTATCCCAAATACCAATACTTATATATATATATATATATATATATATATATATATATATATATATTATATATATATATATAAACCATAAGGATACAACCTATTAATTTTTTAACTTAAGGATCAAAACTTATTAACTTTTTAATTTAGGGACAAAAAATTTAATCAGACCAAAGCTTAATGATCATTTCTATAATTTACTCTAAAATAAACAGGAAAATAGTTTTGAAAAGTCTATTTGAATGGGTGGTTTTGACTTTTTATTGGATGCCTTTAAAATCTAACTGGATAAGATTTCAAAATATAGTTAGTTTAACTTTTAATTATTATTTTAATAAGAGATAATTGTACTTTAAGCTTATATATTTGTACAATTTAAAAATATTATTATTTTATTAATGGTTACTTATACTATTAGCTTAATGACTTGAACGTCTTAAAAAATATTATTATTATATTGAATCTATTTTTAGAAATAGTAAAATTTACTTTATAATGTAGTATATATATATATATATATATATATATATATATATATATATATATATATAGAGAGAGAGAGAGAGAGAGAGAGAGAAAGAAAAAAGAGAGAGATGAATGATCATTTGAGAACTTATAGTTTTCTGAAAACCCGAAAACTAAAAATAGAACGTTAAATAAAAAAATGTCAAGATGTAAGATGTCATTTTTGTAAATAAGTAGAAAACTAAATAGATAATGGGTATCTTAATTAAATTAGGCAAGGGTACTATCGAAAACAAAATTGCAATTAAATTATATCTTAAATTCCAATAAATTAATATTGCAATCCACAATCTACCTCCTCTTTCCAATGATCTTCTTCAGTGATTCCCCTCATATATCTCTTCTCCGACACCAAACTGTGTGTTGCATCATCTCCACCATCACCGATGATGTTTCGCTCATCAAGTCTGTCGATTTTGAATCCACCGAATGCATTCCTCCACAAATCCATCCAGATTTAGAATTAAAGATAATATTAACATCTTTTATCTCCTTTTATTCGATTTTGTGTACATAATCAATATTACGATCCATCGTTAATCGTAAGGCCACCATTTTTGAAATCAGAGATACGTTTAACATGATTTGGTTTTCGCATGTGACTCTATGAGGTTGATTTTGATTATTAATAGTGTTTTTTTGTATAATTTCATATCTTGAAATGTAAGGAAGTAATTTAATAGTTTTCATGTGATTGATTTGATGATTACTAGCTTTATTTAAACATGGTTTAATGATATTTATTCTTAAAAAATGTACGCACAAATTGTTCAGCCTTTTCAATTAAGTTTCATTTTAACATGGTTTATTAATCTTATTATCAACATATTTATTTATTCGTCTTCTTTGTCATTTTCTGGTCCTCTGCATGTGGTCCTTACAGTTTTGTATTGACTTTATAGAATATTGTGTAATTAAATATTTAATTAGTTGTGAACTTCTTAATCATTCGACCTTAGTTGCATACGGAGTGTCTATATAGTCGTATATGTGAATATTTTTTACGTATAAATTTTTTATATCATATCGATTTTTGAATCTTATATAATATCATATGTGTAGCTGTAAATATACTTATGTACTCATAGATGCATATTACATTGTTTATTTACATGTGAATATCGCATATAATGTTAGTGGATAATAGTAATGGTTTATTCATATGTGAATGTTATCTGAATAGCAAACGACATATTCATTTGTGAATATGGTTTTATATGTTATTCACATGTGAATCTTACATGATATTATCACATGACAATCATACATTATATAGTTAGAAAGCTTCACAGTTTGTACATTGACTATAATGACCAAAGATATACACATATCACATGTGCCAAATAACTTATTTGTCCTTCTTCAATTCTTGTTAAATCACAAGTGAATCACATATGAATTACATGTGATTCGTATGTAAATCATAAACGAATCGCATGTGAATTACATGTGATTCACATGTAAATCACATGTGATTCACATTTAAATCACAAGTGAATCATATATAAATTACATGTGATTCACATGTAAATCATAAATGAATCACATATGAATTACATGTGATTCACATTTAAATCACATGTGACTCACATGTAAATCACATGTGATTCACATTTAAATCACAAGTGAATCATATATGAACTACATGTGATTCGCATCTAAATCACAAGTGAATTACATGTGATTCACATGTAAATCACAAACGAATCGCATATGAATCACATGTAAATCACATATGATTCACATTTAAATCACAAGTGAATCATATATGAATCACTACAAAAAATATGTCATTTAGTGGCACACAAAAAGTGCCACTAAAAGTCCAAAAAAATGCTACTAAAGGCTTCTCAAAGAATCAGCGGCACACTTAATAAATGCCACTAGAAACGCTCCCACTAAAACCTTTTAGTGGCACTTTTTGTTTTTGCTGCTGCAGTTTTTAGGCTTTCAGTGGCACTTTTTTATTTGTCACGGTAAAACAAATTTCTTTTGTGGCACATATTTTGTGCCACTAAATCTGATTTGATTTAATAATTTGTGTTGCTTTTAGTTACACATTTTAAAATTTTAGTGGCACTTATTTATTTACCACAATAAAAAATAGTGGCATTTTTTATGTGTCACAGTAGAAGAAAATTTTTTGTGGCATATATTTTGTGCCATTAAAAGCTCATGTGATTTAAAAAATTCATGCTACGTATAATTAGATATTTTAAGATTTTAGTGACAATTTTATTTTCCACAATACAATTTCATCTATAATATAAAATAAAATGAATAATTAAATTGTAGCACATTACAAATAATCAAAATTTTATTGTTTTTCATCAATATTTTTTTTTAACTTTTTGAATCGAATATCTAGGGGAATATCAAATATGTTTAAGTAAATGCTAAACATAAAGTAATGAGAAAAAGTTCAAATATACATATAAAAATAAAATAAAACAAAAAAACAAAGACATGATAGGTTGAATAAATTGTGTTATCTCATACTTAGAATCAATGCTAGCAATTCCCTGTCAAAAAACAAAGATAATCCAGAATCTAGTGAAACAAGGCTTAGTTTAGAAAATAAATAATATAACACTCAACACAAATAAACTATATTTATAAGAACAAAGGAAAGACAAAAGCTCATAAAAATGATTACCATCATTATGATGACTTTCAGAAGATGCTCTCTGGTTAACTGAATTAGAGTTACGTGGACATGTAGAAGTGTTGCTTGGCATCTGAAACAAATTAATGAAAACATGTAACATTAATGTCCAATTCTAGATATCTTCTACTAGTCTTGTACAAATGTACACCAAGAAGAATATTCAGAAGGGCAAAAGTGGTCATTCTTGAGTCCAATTGGAAATATGATAATGGACTAATTTTAATGAATGTTTTTTTCGTTCATAGGGTAATTGAATAGGAACAATGCAATTATAGATGACATATGTACCTGTATGTTCATATTGCTAAGAATTCCAGACAAGTTTGCATTTGGGATATGTTCTTGGATGATATTTGCCATAACGTTCACCATAGTTTTTAGTTGTTCGACACTCGGATCATTAGAACAAGAAACAACCTTCTCTTTTACGGTAGGTATCCTTCCAACACATCTGATATACCCTCTTTTTTCAGGACCTTTAACTTTAGAGTAGTCATCATTTGAAAAATCATCTACAGATCCTAGGGTATTTGATCCTTGGGTATTTGAGGAATCACTTGCAATGGCTTGTAGGGAAGTCTACATTATAGCAACATACGAAAAACATGACAAGTATTTCTCATCCACTGTTATTGTCCCACTTTCAAATGAATAGCAACATAATATAGCAACCTACTTTGAAAGTGGGACAAATTACAAGGTTTAAAACAAAACAAATAGTATATGACTTGATATGATTAAAAACATGTATATATAATGTCTAGGGAAATCATTACCATAACTTGAGCGACTTTTTCATTCACGATATTTCCATTTTTACGAGTGCGGGTTTTTACATATATTTGTCCTCGTGTTGGGTATACACCATTTTTCAATGCCTATAACAAGATGTAGTTATGTTTGATGAAAATAAATAATTTAAAAAAAAAAGACGATAATATAAGTCAAAATAATAAAATATAATAATACCTCTTCGTGAGCAAGTCGAGCAAATGATTTTGTCCCAGAAACATGGGGCTCTTCCATCTTTGCACGGCTCTTTCTCCTCAAATCACACATGCTCTACAAAATTATTTTCCATAAATTTACTTTATCTTTTACCCACAATAGCAATGTACTTTCTATTTTTTAGTGTAATTGTTTTAACTAAAAAGTAAAAGTAGGGATTCAATGAATAAAAAACATGCTAGGCCATTAAGGGTAACTAACTTTTTTTATTATTTTCCATAAATTTACATTATCTTTTACCCACAATAGAAACGTACTTTCTATTTTTAGTGTAAAATTGTTTTAACTAAAAGGTGAAAGTAGGGATTCAATGAAATAAAAGCATGATTAGCCATTAAGGGTAACTAATGAGTAAAATGATAAATTCCTTAGTTTATGTAAGAAACTAAATATATCACCTGATATTCTGGAGTAAACCAATGAGTAACAAGTTTTTTAAACTGAGTTGGGTTCACCCTGTTATCTTTCTCAGTTTGTTGTGCCACAATTTGATCGATTGTAAGACTTGAATCATATGCACGTGCTTTTAGTGAACCTTTCCAAGTCCTCCACTTTTTCCCCATGCTAAAAAGGATCCATTTCTTGATTTCACTTGTTTCAACCGGATGAATAACAAACTTGGCCTACAAATAAAGCTTACATGTAAATATAAATACACCATAATTTTGATTAATAGATACACACCTTAACCATAGAATACATATCTTCTTTCTTCTGTATAGGGATCTTCCTCCAATCATCATAATCTATTCCGACATGATTAGCCATCCTCACAAGGGTCCCAAGATATTGTACGAGTTCATTTCCTTCATCTCCTACCGGTTTTCCGAACCTATTAAATGTCACTACTATTTTTTGGGAGCTACTCATGTTCCATGTCTCGGTCTTTTGAGTATAGCCCCTTACCTTCTTTTGAGCACCTAATAACAAAATTAGCAAAGTTAACCAAAATTAGCAATAGAGTGATAATATGATAGTTTTCATTAATTAATTAGTAAATAGACATGTGTTTCTTTTTTACTCAAAAACTTGGAAGCCTTTATAATGAGGCAATAAATTTATTCCAAAGGAAACATCTAACCCTTTCTTTGAAAAAAAAAAGCTTAAAAGACTAGGGAAAGATGAAGAATTGAGAAACTTTAAAGAACTATTAATTGAATTTAAGCTTACATATTTCAAATGATGTAAACAAAGAGATAGTTAGATAAAGGAAGTGGACATTTGACCTAGTGGTAGATAAAAGAAGTGGGCATTTTTCATCAACAAAATCAAAACATTTGATCTAGAAACAAATCTACCTACTCAAAATGGATAGCATATACCAAAAAAAGATATGAAAATATGCAATAATAGTATCAATCAACAAAGTAAGGGTCGTTTACAGAGAACGGTAATTGCTATAAATTGAAATCGTAAATGACAAAAGTAAAAAGAACATGAACTACTTGAAAAAATATATATGTCATTGACTTACCTGATTGACCTCCTTCAGTAGAGTTGTGTTCTTCAGCAGTAGACTGGCCTCCTTCAGTAGTTTGTGGATGATCTGATTGGTCTCCTTCAGTAGGGATATCAGTTTTAGAAAACTCAGAACTTTGATCATGTATCTCACTGTCAATAGGGATATCAATTGAGGTGATGCATAGCCTCTTACGCCTACCCATCCTCCTATAGCACCACAACAGATAAGTACATGCATACAAATATATACATATAATACATAGATACATGCATATAAATATACATATAAAGATAAAGTGCATCAAATTTTCATTAACTATCATCAAATACTAATCTAGTCACTATTATTTTCTTCATCATCTATGACATCTATGTTTTCATTAGCTATTATCATTTCAGGTGTAACATCTATGCCATCATCACCAACCCTATGCAAGTTAGGTACATCAAATATGTCATCATAAGCACCTCCCATGTCAAATACATCTCTAAGCTTTACATGTCGCACAATCTCCCAACCTATATGTTTAGGATCCATGGAGTAGAACACCTTGTCGGCCTGTGATGCCAAAACAAAGGGATCATCAATCAAGTTAACACCGGTATGTGTCTTATATGAGAAGTTGACCAATGTTACATTGCCATCTTTCTTGCAACCTCTGTTGATGTCAACCCACTCACATTTGAATAAAACAACTCGTATCATTCCAGAGTAGTTTAATTCAATAATGTCAGTTAATTTTCCATAATAGTTATTCACGCCTTCGACTGGCCTTCTATCTCGACTAATGGAATAATTTGCACCTTCTACCATAACAGACACACCACTGTTTTGAGTTCGTAGAAGTTCCTCTCGTTTTCTTGTATGAAATCGATAACCTTTAACTAGGTATCCTGAGTATTTTTGCACAACTCTAAGTGGACCACGTGCAAGCCATTTTATTTCGTCAGTTACTTTTTGATCTCCTTGCTCTTCCATGCGTGCAACCTATCAACATAATTATATAATTACATCTTGAAAATCAAAATTTGATACATCCAATATTTATTCCAAATTACCCTTCTCTTAAACCATTCACTAAATTGTTGGCAGTGAATCTTGTTGATTTCATAATCATGTATCCGCCGAGATCGATTTTGTCCCTTGATTATCCTTTTGTGTTCCCTTCAGATAAAGAACAATAATATGAGGTAAATGAAGAATAATATGCAAACGCATAGGAAAACTAGTTTATCTTACTCTCGGAATGGTGAAAGTGATTCAACATTAAATAGGACATAACGATGTGCTTGAGTGAGTGACTTCTCGTCCAAGACGAAATTTGAAGATCTCTTTCTTTTCTGAAGTGATACCCTAGAATTCTTTTTACGTCCCAATGGGCGACCTGGGCAAAGATTGTTAGATTCTTCAATCTCATTTTGATCACCTTCATCATCATTCCTAATTGGTCTAGTAAATATGGTTTCTACTCCTGAGAGATATCTGGAGCAAAATGTTACACATTCTTGAGCTAAATAGCCTTCAGCAATTGAACCTTCAGGATGAGCTCTATTATGAACGTAGGACTTAAGTGTTAGAAGGTACCTATGATTACAATTACAAAAAAATGATCATCTATAGAATAATAGAAGATAATAGGAAAAAGTAACATAAATATTGTTTACCTCTCTATAGGGTACATCCATCGAAAAGCAACTGGACCTCCTAACTTAACCTCTCTAACTAAGTGGATCACCAAGTGCACCATTATAGTAAAGAATGAAGGAGGAAAAATCTTTTCCAATTTGCATAAAGTGACAGAAACTTTTGATTCGAGATATTGGAGATCAACTTCGGTTAAGTCTTTGTAGCAAATGATCCTAAAAAAATCGCTCAACTCTATTATAGTGGAGCTTACATGGTCTGGCAAAGTACCTCGTAATGCAATGGGCAAGTATTCTTGCATCAACATATGGTGATCATAACTTTTCATCCCAACTAATTTCTTCTCATTCAATTGCACACATCGAGAGATATTGGATGAAAATTCATCAGGAGGCTTAATTAGCTTTAATATTTTTAAGAACATTCCCTTCTCATCCCGATTCATTTGATAACATGCCCTTGGCATGAAAGTAGTATCACTTCGAGGTCGCTTTTTGGGATGCAATTCCTTTCTTATACCCAATTGTATTAGATCAAGTCGTGTTTCATAGTTATCTTTTGACTTTTTTCCTTGACCTAAAAAAGTCCCCACAATGTTCTCAGATACATTTTTTTCAATGTGCATTAGGTCAAAATTATGACGCAACAACAAGTGCTCCCAGTATGGCAACATAAAAAAAATACTTTTCTTTTTCCATGGACCACCATCTACTTTTTCAGCAAGAAATTCTGTACCATCTAACTGTTGGAGAACCTCCTCTCCGGAAGAAGGTTTTGGGGCAACTCATAATTCCTCTCTTCCAACAAAGGATTTAGTGTCTCTACGCCAATGATGGTTAGTTGGAAGCCATCTTCTATGACACATGTAACAATACTTTTTTCCATGGGTTAGCCATTTAGAATCAGTATCAAAACCACATAATGGACATGCAAGTGCTCCTTTGGTGCTCCACCCAGATAAATTGGCATAACCGGAAAGTCGGATATAGTAGAGAGAACTGATGCCTTTAATTGAAAGTTTTGTTTAGTTGAGGCATCAAATGTCTCAACTCCAACATCCCACAACTCCTTCAATTCTTTTATCAAAGGTTGCATATACACATCTATCTTGTTTCCGGGGGCTCTTGGACCGGGAATAATTAAGGAGAGAATGAAATTAGGTTGTTTCATAACCAACCATGGTGGCAAGTTGTAGGGAATAAGAAAACAGGCCAAATACTATGCGACACGTTCATTGTCCTGAATGGGTTAAAACCATCACTTGCTAGAGTTAAACGAACATTGCGGGGATCACTAGCAAATTCTGGAAATTTTTTATCAAAATCTTTCCAGGCTAGTGCATCAGCCGGATGTCGAATCTTTCCATCTTCCACACGTTCCACATGGTGCCACTTCATTAGGCTAGCTGTCTTCGATGACATGAACAATCTCTGAAGTCTAGGCTTCAAAGGAAACCACCGTAATATTTTTGATGCCTTCTTCTTAGGTGGAATCGTTCCATTTTCTGAATTATCTTGAGACACTTTCCATCTCGATGATCCACAAACAGAACAACATTCATCTTTCTCCTTCTCTTCCCAAAATAACATGCAACCGTTAGGACATGAATGGATTTTTTCATATCCTAATC